TATGATCAACCTCCAGTCACTGCTTTGCCAAAATTTGTCGTATCTCTCTATGTAAGCCTCTTTTTCAGATCAACTATTGTGGGTCGGATTTTTTTGGGTTGATGAACCATCCAAACTGACCCAATGTAAACTAAAAACGCTAGGGTCTTAAATATTTCGGGTGGGTTTGGGTTGAGATTTATTAAACACGACATATAAGGGTCAAGTGGTCATAATGGTCCAAAACGGACCCACCCCATTGACTCGTTCTGACTATCACAATAAAATCTCGACTAAGGTCCAAGTATAAATCTTAGATGGGTGCAATATAGGGCAAGTATGTTTAAATATCAACCCGGACCGGCCCATATACAACTACTTCGATTGTTTGAAACATTATCTAGCGAATTAGTTTTGGTGAACACAAAGGTCTAAGCTAAATTACTTTGCAAAGATGAAATGGTTTTGACACTAATTGAGAGGGCTTCACCCGGGTGTTGCTCCCCCTAGCTAACAATTACGACTTGAATGATCGAATGACCGTGTGTGGTTAGGGGGTTATAAACCGCAGGGAAGTTTACAAGTAGTCAAGGCTACCCTCTTAGTTTCTAGGTCGAGGAAGTGGGATACAATCCAAGCTACTAATGCGATCCTCTCAACCTATTGAATAAGGAATGGTTGTCAAACAAGTAGCCAAAGTTATCTTTTTAGTCATTAGGTCGAGGAAATGGTATACGATCCAAGCCACTAATGCGACCCTCTCAACCTATTGACTAAGGAATGGTTAGACTTCACCCTCGAATTGGAGTTCGGACGGCCACCCACAACCAAACCCGAAGTGCTAATACGAAATAGGAGGTTTGCCCTGCATCAACGCAAATAGGAGGCAACGAATTAGCCAAGAAAACCCAACATTCAAGCCTCTTTCAAAGAAAGAAAGTGGGGTTTTCTCTCTACCTAGGTTATAAGGGCAATTAGATTGATAGGCTTTCACACAACACAATCATTCATGAATAATACCTCCACATTCACATTAAACACAACCACACACAAATCATTCAATTCATACAAGCATTCACATAATTGTAGCTAGGGTTTACAAACACCCAAGTGAAAGAAGGGACTACTCCATGCTATGAGAAAGGAAAACACAAGGGAGAAGAAAGAAAATCATCAAAAAGATGCTAGACTTGCTCCTTGTGTTGAAGAGATCCTGCTTTGGGGAAGGAATTCCCAAATCCTTGCTTGGAGATGAAACCCTAGTTTCTCCTCTTCTTTGGTTTGTCACTTTCTCACTCTAAAATCTGAAGAAGAAGAAGTTTATCACATTAGGTCCCTCCCTTCTTTCTTTCAGCTGGCTCTTTATACTGAGATCGAGCCCAGTTCACGGTCGTGAACATCAAAACGCGCCAGAGAGCACAGTGTGCTGAACCAAAATGCACCGCTTCACTTCTTGGGTTCACGGTCTTAGCGACCGTGAACAACCTTGGCGCTAGTAACCTCAAAACCCTCTCTAGACGCTCCTTGTTTCACAGATTGTGGTTCTAGTTCACGGTCCTGGAAACCGTGAACTCCAATGGCAGACCGTGAACACATGTTGTCTCCTCCTCTTTGCCCGGTCTTTGCTCCTTTTCTTCCAACTTTCGACTTCGGGGTTGGTTTCACCTGTTAGGATTTGAAAACACACTGAAACATAAGAAAGCTCGCGTAAAACCACTCCTATTGGAGTTCAATTACAACAAACGCCAAAGAGAAACAGGGATAAAAAGTGTACAATTAGTCTTGAATCACCAACCCATGTTCATCCCTAGTTATCGGACAGAAAAAAGAAGATGGATTAGGAAGAAAAAAATGTCGAATTAGTTCTGAAATTGGATAGAAATTCTATTATGGAGAAGATTATCGGGTGCAGTAAACTAAGAAAAATCATTCAACGGAGAAAAGAGAGGTGATTTGGGCACAAGAATTCGAGGAAAAAATAAAGGGGAGAAGAGGGCTCAAGATAGGGTGCATAACTATGAATAACCAAATCTGGACCCTTCTTTTAAGTGGCTGCAAATCTAAGGGTGGAGAATTAAAAAAATTTATTTTCCCTAGTTTTCTTGATTGGATCATATCTTCTTCATTCTAACTCGGATTTCAATTTTTTTTGCACAGATGAAACGAGTATGTTCTGCTCTACAAGATGATATCCATTTTCAATATTTTTTGGAATTTTTTTTCATACATCTCGTTACCAACTCCATACCATATGGTATCTCCTTCGTTTTTAGTTGTTTTCATAAATTTTTGCACAGAAGGAACGATTTAATCATGATCTATTGGATTTCAAATTTTTCTGGGTGAAACAATTCCATACCTCTCGTTACCAACTTCATACCATACTATACCACACTGGTATATGGTGGTATTTTTCATACCACAAGGTTACTCACTGGATCTGCTACCGGAGAAGAGGTAAGTGGAGATTTGGAAGATTGGCTCTAAGATTCAATCTCCAGAGTAGCCCAGTTTCCGTTAGCATCTCCACCCTCCAGCGCCAACGATTTTGTTCTTTTTTCATTGGGTTGATCGGGTCACCCGTGCACCCGCCACCCGACGGATGTCTCCCAGCACAACCTGTCACCCAACCATTAACCCACCCACATAACGAAATTCGAGTCAAATGCGAGCGGATCAGCCCATACCCGCGGGTGACTCGCCCGCATGCCCAACCATATTTAGTAGCTCTTCACGATGTAATTTGTTGGTGTCGTTCTTCAGGAGTTTCGTCGTTTTTTTTTTTTGGAGTATCCCGAGTTCAGTACTCAATTTGTTGGTAGGAAAAATAACACGATAGTTCTTTTGGTGACTAATAATATCCTGTAACAATTTGTGGGTTTGATTTTCGCAATTGGTTAATTTCAGAGTGTTTGACGTTGTACCTATATTTTTCCCGTAATTCAAATGATCGTTTGGTAAAAAAAAGGGGACATCAATTCAAATAATAAAATTTATAAATTTCTAACTTCCAAATAAACTAGCACATTTCTTATCTATCGTTATGCGGGGAAAAAAACATAACCGTTCAACCTTCGACTCATATTAATAAAGTTTCGATCTCGACACCACAGACGGTGTACTGCTTCAACATTGTTTGATTATAAGTCTTGACTTGTGATGTTGTAACTTGTAACTCTTCTTTAGAATTCGTAAAATCCTTCATGCACAATTTGTACCTACACGATTCCATGGTCTGTGTAGCTTGTTTTTATTTCTTATCATATTCATAAAATAAACTATGTGATTCTTATCTATAAATCAAACCTTCAATCTAATAATACCACAATACCTAATCTAATATATAGCTAGTATTGCTTTATCAGTTAAATTTCACATTCACACGTACAAAAACTTTTAGAACTCAATGGTAATCAATTGTGAGTGACTGCCTATTATGAATCATGTTTTATGTTGCATAAAAGAAATCATTCAAAACGTTGCATGGAGACTCTTCCTTCCTCTGTCACTGAAAATAAAAATTTTCTTTTCACTCTAGAAGCGGGACTATGAATCGCTTATTTTGTACCATACTGACGGTTGATGCACAATAACCTACACCCACAAAATCCCAAAAACTTTGATATGAATAGCTTCTTATAACTAGGGGTGTTCAAATGGTTACTGTGGTAATAACCAAACCAATTAAGCCTATATTTCATTAACCGTGGAATAAAATGTCTTAACCAAACCGTCCAAATTAACACGAAAACCAAATTAACCAAACCAAAGTTTAATTGGTTTGGTTAATCGGATAATCGGATTAACCAAATAACATAACCATGATTATCATCATCGTTCGAGTTAATGCATCATTCATCATCTCTGCACCTAATATAGTTAGCTTACAACAAACCCTTAACATAAATATTAAATACATACCCATACCACTCATCAGGCAGTTAAAGCTCTCCTACAAAATACTTAAACTATGCATAGTTTGAGGTGGCTGTCATGGTATTGTACGTAATCCTAAAATCTAGTAGTTGTCCAAAATGTTTTGGTTTAGTAAATAGGTAGACCCATTTAATTTTTTACGCATAATGTTTTGGTTTGTTGTGCACATGGAAATAAAATAGGGAATCACGAAAGTTTGGTTTGGTTGGTTGCATGGAAGTATAAATAATTTTGTATATTTTTTTGACAGAAACCTGCTTATCTTATTAAGAGATCAAATTGTCCTTCTCCATATGAGAAAGGAGAAACATGGGGGGCCTAAGAGCCCAAGACTCAGAAGAATCCCAGTTACAGTTTGAGTGGGCCAGTAGATGGGCCGGTTCGTTCCCTGTTCTCTTCGTAAAGCTCCACCGGATCTGGCCCAAGGACTCGGCCCGCTCCTTTAGCTCCCTCGCGACAACACCTGCTTCCATCCTCGAATCTTCCTCACCCTTCATTTTCTGGATAGCATTCTGGCAATCGCTCTCCACCACCGCCGGTAAGAAACCATGGTGTTCCACCATCTGCAACCCAAAATCCATAGCCCGGAGTTCGGCTATTTCCGGCGGCCACTGCCTTCTCTCCCGCCGAACCGCCGCGAGCAGAAATTTTCCCGTTTCGTCACGAACCACCAGCCCTAGCCCTGTACCCTCCCCGGCCATCACCGCGGCGTCCACATTCACCTTCACCCATCCTTCTGGCGGCTTCTCCCAGGTACATTTCTCGCTCGAATTAGTTTCTTGCTCCTTTGAGTGGTGGGATTTGTACTCCTCCCAAAAATCTAAAGCCTTCCCTATGATCGCCCATTCCTCAGCCTTCGGTTTATTGAACATTTGATTGTTCCTTTCATTGGTTAATTGGTTTCATTGGTTCGTAGTGTTGAAACCAAACCAAACCAAACCACCTAAACCAAATAAACAAAAAAAATTAACCAAACCAATTATCCAAATTAACCAAATCAAATTAATCGAATGCTACCGGTTAATATAGTTACCATGGTAACCGATCCGTTTGAACACCCCTGCTTATTACCCATTAAATATTTCATCTGCAACCACTAGATCTTCATCCATCCCCAATTTCACAACTCACAAGACTAGTAGTAATCATGAACTTAAACCCAACTTCAAGATGTGAACAAGAAAAAGAGAATGATACGTTGCCTCCCACAATTAGACAACTTTTGATTCTTTCCCTGCAATTGAATCCTTCTTGAATTCCTCATCAGGTCATCCAAACTCCCTCAACCTTTTCCCCTCTCCAAAAACCAAACACGACTATCTACTAGTTCTACTCACTTCCCAAATCTCCCAACTACGTGTATCTCTCTCTCTCTCTCTCTCTCTCTCTCTCTCTCTCTCTCTCTCTCTCTCCAGAGAAACACACAGAAATGTCCCGCCACCCCGAAACCAACCCTCATTTCGTCCGGCCACTCCAACCGCCACGCCGCGACGGCCACCGCCGTTCCACCCCACCACCGGTACTGATAACTCCTCCGGTCAGCGGCCCAGCCACTCCTCCTCCCCCGCCGCACCACCACCGCCAGCAGGAAGCCCCCGACCCAGGCAACCAGCACTTCCCTCTCCACGTCGACGACGAGTTACTCCCAACCCACAACAGGCCCTCGGGCCCAATCCGCCACCAGGAACGCAGACAGTTTCGCAGCCCATGGGCCATACCACCACATCACCCGCAGCATCTTCCTTCCCAGCCGGCCCACGGCCCAGCCCACGACGGCCACTACCAAAGCCCATGGGTACCCCCGCCCTCATCCCACCCGACCCACGACCACGGCCCGCTCGTCACCGATCCCCACCGCCACGACTCCCAAGAGCAACCGCCGCAGCATCCACAACCACAACCACAACCGCCGCCGAAACATCCACGTCACCACCGCAAGCATCCGCCTCCGCACGACGGCGTCGGCCACCGGCGGGAACGGCGGGGCCCCGTGGTGCCGTCGCCGCGGAGGACCAAAATCACGACGTGGTGCGCCGCCGTGTGCTGCGCGATCTTCTGGATCGCGATCTTCCTCGGCGGACTGATCGTCCTCGTGGTCTACCTCGTCTACCGGCCGCACAACCCGCGGTTCGAGGTCTCCGACGCGACGCTGAACGCGGCGTACCTCGACGCCGGGTCCCTGCTCAACGCCGACGTCTCGGTGCTGGCGAATTTCACGAACCCTAACCGGAAGGTCGGAGTCGATTTCGGGAGCCTGATCGTGGATCTCTACTACGGGAGCACGCTGATCGCGACGCAGTTCATCCAGCCGTTCTCCGCGAGCCGGGCCGGGTCGCGGTTCGTGAACCTGGAGCTGGTGACGAGCCAGGTCCGGATCCCGCTGGAGGACAGCAAGAAGCTGGAGGAAGAGATCGAGAAGAATACGGTGACGTTTAATGTGAAGGGTGTGTTTCGGGTTCGATCCAAGCTCGGCACGTTCCTTGGGTATTCGTATAAGCTCTACGGTCATTGTACGATCGTCACGACTGGGCCTCCGAGTGGGATCTTACGTGGAAGACGATGCATTACGAAGCGATGAAATTATTACAAGTTTAATACAACCAATTTTGGGGTAGTTTCATGTCTGATTGATTCATTGACGACAGTAAAATGTAATTGACATATCGTTTCGGTTAACTATTTTTCTGTTAACTTTATCCAGTGGTGATGCTCGTCGTCTGTGTAGTACGAAATACTATGCGTTATTGCTCGCATTCGTTACTACGAATAACTTAGTGTCAAACAATAAACCAGTATGGAAGAAACTGAAATTCCAGACTACATTGCAATCTACCACAATTGGGGAGGGCTGTCGAGAAACCCCTTTGGTTTTTATCTTTCCCCTAAAATACACAATAGTATACAGATAGATGCCTTTGGACTTTGGTAACATTACACTTACAGTTGCAGGTTTCAAAACACTTTGTATTCGTCAGTGATTGGACCTCTTGATTCTCCTCGTTATAAAGAATACATAGGAAAGCAATCCCCCATATGGTACACTCTTTAACCACAAGATGACATAAAAAGCTCTTGATTATGGGAGGCCACACATCAAAGATTATTACCATCCATCCATCTTCTTGTTCTGATTCAAAGTCTCCTGTAAAGGTCCCTCGAGAAGAAAGGATGCCCGAGGGCGCTGTGAGCCGTAAGCCTGGTTGAAGGGTCGTACCGAAGGAGACCTTGCAAGAGATCGATGATGTCGCCCGCCGAGTGATCCACGTGTTGCATTACTAGATTCTGCCCAAAAGCAATTGCATAAATGGGCAACCACCAAATGAAACAAAGTCAGCTTCACTGAAGGAAGAGCTATATACCTGAAGACGAGGCAGCTTCATGACCGCTTTAATGCTGTCACGAGAGGTTGCATTGTCAGGCCAATCCAATCTACCTCTTCTCACGTACTTCTCAGCGTGTCGACTGTAGATGAGCACAGAAACGGAGCAAGACAGAGAGAGCAATAAGCAAGGGAATTGCTTTATTCCATGATGGAAAAATAGAAACAGGAGAGAGAGAGAGAGAGAAGACAAACTCCACTCGTTTCAACATCTGCTGAGGCAATGGACCTAACACTCTTTCCATCATGGCTAAATGCTCCAAGTTATCGTGGGTCTGGAACAATGCTTCCCCCTGGAATTTTTTTTAGTGCTTTAGCATCTAGAAAAAGTAGAAAATGTGCCAATCCAAGGCTAGAAAGTGATCATCCTGGGAAGCCGTGAACTTACTGTGCATAGTTCTACCAATATACATCCGACACTCCATATGTCACAAGAGTAACTCCAACCAAGGCCTGCAAATTGGAACAAGCTATTGATATGAGTCTCACTATCGAAAACAAGGACAGAAACTTGGTTTAAGGAGGTAAGAGATTAGCATTACCGAGGATAACCTCGGGCGCACGGTAATGTCTGGTGGAAACAATATAGTTGTGATGCTTATGGCCATCAGCCGTGCTGCCAAAATCAATGACCTTAATGGCACTAGACTTCGGCAACCTCTTGTAACAGGCTGCCTCACTAAATGAATGTACTGGAACCTAAACAAGCACCAAAACTAGATTGATGTAAAATGGAGAAGCAGGAGAGAACTTATGTCATTATTAGTAGTATACCAAGGAATGTACCTTGTAGTCAGGAATTTTCACATAATCTGGAGAAACAAAGAGTATATTCTCTGGCTTCAGATCGGTATGGACAAGCCGCAAGTCATGCATAACTGCATAGTTTATGGTATAGAGTCAATACTAGTATTCAGAAAGTATCCAGCTTCCATGCTCATATTACTTCATTATTAATCCTTGAAGTGCGGAAAAAAGGAGAGTGAAGAAGATAGTGAGGGGAACTAGGAAGTCCCCATCATAGGAACAGCTTTAAATTTAAGTTTCCCTGAACAGCATAAAACATGCAGCCCAAGAAACTTGAAAAGCATAATAGATGGTGAAAGGGAAAACATTTACACACATGCTACACATTCCAAGAGTTGTCTGCCAAGCTCACGGACAAGGTCAACTGGAAATGGTCGATAACTATTTTTACGAAGAAAATCGTATATGCTTGGTCCAAGCATCTCAAAGACCTGTTAAACACACATCATTTTAAAACCCATCGTCTCAACCCCCTGAAATTGCACAGAAAGAGGCTATTAATCAAACTTGGCTACATTAAACATTGGATACTTACAATGCAGATATGGTTCCGGTAGTCAAACCAGTTTCTTATTTGTACACAACTGCAGAAAAGAAAATTATTTGACTCAATACTCATGAAAATATAAAATAAAATAATAACACTATGCTCAAGCTGCTTTAACAGAGGCAAAACTCACCGGCTTCCATTTCTATCATACTTTCCAAGCAACTGGAGCGCATCAATTTCGGACATTGCTGCCTCCCGGTATTTTTTTATACTTCTCACAACTTTTACAGCGACCATCTCTCTTGTTTCCCTATCCCAGCATTCCAAAACCTGACCAAAGGTTCCTGGAAGAAAAAGAGAAACTATTTAAATATGCCAGCCAAGGAAGAAAGGTCCCACTATAAGATGGCAAGATATCCAAGGAGATCAAACCTTCGCCAATTTTCCTATGGATCTTATCTGCAAGTAGATAAACAGAAGATCAATCACCAGGAGAACCACAAATGTATAATTATAGAAGACTAAACTAATAACCCACAAGAAACAAAATTGAAATATCCGGAAAAGGGTGGACGCTGCTAGTGAATCCCAAAAAAAATTGGTTTGCTTCGTCTTAAAAAGAACAGATCACAAAGCAGCTTTCAAATGCTTAATTTCGGAAAAACAAAACAAAAAATTTCAAACAAAAGACATATCATAACACTCAATAAAGTTAGACCATGACTCTCTTAACGATCTAAGCATACACTTTTAAATGAAGGCTTTGAAAAAAGAAGGGTTGTGTAAATCGGGGTATATATCTTAGGTTGCATGAAAACAATTTCAAACATAACATAATAGCCTGCTAAGTGGTGATTTAGTGAAATTACAGCGAGGTGTTAAATTCTCTCCAAGAGCAAACATGTAATGTCCATCTTTGTCATCATCTCGCCATGGGGGAGAGCCTTTTTGAGCCAATCCTTTTAAATATAAACCGGAATGGTCTGTGAGTAGTACTCTTGAAGGTCCCATGCTCGTCCCATTTCCAACATCTTGTCCAAAATACAATCCTGACTGCGCCTACACACAGCCATTCATTCATTTTCCGCTAAACAAACAGTAACTAATAAAAGGCCACTCCTCCACAAAAATTCACTATTGTCAAGAATGCTTCCAGTTTGCTCAACCCAAACAACAATGTCAAAGCTTTTAGGCAACACTAACTTGTTATCAGCAAACTATTCATGTCTAGCCATAAGAACCATAAATCATAATAGCCAGAAGCATCTTTCATACATAGACCAGAGTTATTTGACATCCCTCAATGATCCAACTTATATAGAAGCTGGATAGTTCATCTCATGAAAGACTGATCCATTCGCACTTTTACACTTTCAGCATTTAGAAATCAATGCTACAGATTTCAGGCAATGGAACCATTCTTCACAAACCCGCCAAGAATCATTACTAATTTTTACACATTTTTCCAAAACTTCCAGAAGCCCTCCAATCCCTTTTCTCTCCAAATACTTCCATCTCACTTGGAAGCAATAAATCAGCTTTTCATTCAACAAAATTCAGCTAGAATCTCATTTAAACAAGAACATCACAATATAAGGGAAGGAAAACCCCTGAAGCTTCAATCATAAGATCATATCAGCAATTGTCGATACCGAGAATCGATGACCAAATGAAGAGAGACAAAAAGGGAAGCTGTTACCTTGGGGTGAGCTTGAGGGAAATCCCAAGCGAATCTAGGTCTCTTTCTGGGACGACGATCAATGTGATTATGAGGGAACTCAGCGACGTAGTCCGTCTCCATCAGAGGGTGAACAAAACCCATAACCCTAATTCATCAGTAAAGCCAGGAATTGAACCAATTCACTTTGGGGATCAGATTTAGAACAACGGATTTTGCCCTAACTATTAGAGAGAGATTTTGTTCTTCGGCAATTTTCTGTTTCTTTATTTTTCTTTTCCGCTCCTTTCTGATTAGTTGATTTCCACCGTTAGATTAGCTTCTACCCGAAGTTCGGTTCGAACCTACTCGATATTTAACCCTGGTTAAGTTAAGCTATTTTCTCACGCAATCTAATAATTTTTAATTCCTCCTCTCTAGTCTACCGGATTTTCTTATTTTCTCTTTTCCTCTTCGGTGGTGGATTAATTCCTTAAATATTTTTTTTGGGTAAATTGCAAGGTTGGTCACTGAAATTACTAAAAACGTTTATTTTTGGTGATTAAAAATATTTAATTCCATTCGTGGTCACTAAAATTAATTAAGTGTTTCAAGTTTGGTCACTCTCCGTCCAACTCCGTTAGTTTTGTTTGATGTGGCAGTCAACTTAAATAGTTGACTGTTAAATATATGATGTGGCAATTAAAAATAATAAAAATAAATATTTATAATTTTCCACCTCATTATTATTATATTTATTAAAAAATAAAAATATTCATTATCACAACCTTCCAATTCTGTCCACAAGATTTCATCCAATTCCATTGAATTCCCAGTCCCCTCTATTTTCCTCCTTTGAACGACGACGACCACCTATTGGGGAAGAAGAAGCGGCGAGGGAGGAAGAAGAAAACGATGGCTCGAATTCGTAGATCACCTCCGGAAATGGGTGCTGCCATAGCTCGATTCAAAGGAAGAAGAAGCGGCGCCAAGGGAGGGGGCGAGGGGTTCTGGCCGCGGTGTCGGCACTGCGACAGATTCGTCTCCTAACGTGGCGGTGGCTACCGCGGTGTCGGCGTCGCATATGCCCCAGAGAGGGACGGGTCGAACGAGACGCGGATCGACGACTTCCTGCTCAATGCTCATCGGAGAGCCGACGTGATGTTGTGGTTGTTCGGCTGGCGCCTGTCGCCAACGACCTTGAGCTCTTCCAGGTCCACGTCGAGCAAGATCTGGCCAGATTTCTGCTAGCTGAGGAACTGGTGAATCGGCCGGGTGGGCGTATCCTCTTCCGCGGCGGGGCTGGCTGCTGCTGGCTCGAGCGATGTGGGTGGTTTAGTGGATTTCTGAATCAAGAAGGACTGATCCTGCATAGACGGACATAAGCTGGAGCTTTCCAGTCTCGATTCGAAGAAGCATTCGATTCCTGCAGAGAATGATAGAAGCACGAGTTCGCCGAACCAGGAAGGGCACCGATTCCATGAAGGGTTTCCTAACCAGGAAGTGAGAAGAAGTCAGCAAGTGTCCAAAATGCGAAAATACAGAGTTAAAGGTCGCCGGATCTGGAACTCGTGCTTGCCTCCGGGGAAGGCGGTGACGGATAGAAGGTTTGATTTATCGGTTACGGTCGTGGCTGTTCGGACTTCAGATGAGATCCTTCAGTTGGCAATGGAATCGAGAAGGCGGGTGGTGGTTGCCGTTCAAAGGAGGAAAACGAAAAGAGGACTGGGAGTTTAATGGAGGAGGACGAAGATCTTGTGGGATAGAAATTGAAGGTTGTGATATATGGAAAATTATTTTTATTTTTAATAAATATTGTTTGAGCCACAGCACCCCCTCAATATTCGGACGTCTCCCTTCTCTGGTGTCGACCTACGCACACAAAGAGGAGGGCGCCTCGGCCCGTTAATCCTCCGACGCCCAAGTTAGTATCTTAAAGAGAGTAGTGTTCTCAAGTAGTATTTAGTGAGAGAGAGTCCAACCTGCGTAAATGCTACCAGCTGCCCCTATTTATACTCACCGAACTCGAGTTGATCCTCTCCACGTCGCTATCCTCATTTAATGCTCTGCGTCCCCTATGTGAGACATCCAACTGTCTTGCCAGGCTCCTGACACACGACAGGCATCCAACTGCCTTGCCAGGCTCCTGACACATGACAGGCGCCCGCAGGCAGTGGTCCACCTGACAGCTGGCCTCAATTTGGCCTTTAGTGTTTTATTCTTTGGGCCCTTTCCCTTGTCTGGGCCCAAGGGCCTCTAGCGGATCAATTCTTTTTGGGCCTTGCCCCCCAACTCTCTTTCTTTGGGAGCCCAAACTCCTAGCTGCTAGGTAATACCCCCAACAATTGCCCCCCAGTTAGGTGCTCGTGGCTCCGCCTTCGAGCGCCTGACTGAATCTCTAATTGCAGTCCGGCGTCCTCTTTGCTATAGGATGCCTGCTTCTCGGCGCCCTATGCCGTGTTTTTACTTCCTTCCTGGTTCGGAGGGGTGCGTTCGCTCCTCCCCTTTCGCTGGCGGGCGTCTTACCTTTGACGGTGCTCCTTGCCATATGCTCTTCTATGTGCTCCTACGCCTCTTGCCACATAGGGGCGCCTTTTCCAACTCCTCGCTTTCAGGCGTCCGATCCTTGCCTTGGCTTAATGCTTCATGTGCTCCTTCTCCGCGACCCTTTTTGTGGGCGCCTTCTCACGGTGTCCGTCTCGATATGTGTCCCTATCCCTTATGCCCCCCTCACCCACGCTTTGCTTGCCGGGGAAATTTGGAATATCGAATTTAAAAAAGAAAATTCGAAATTGGGAGTTGAGAAATTTCCCCAAAAAGGAAAGGGTGGGGGAAGCTCAAGGGTCCGCTCAAGTTTTGAGGTTCGCGAAAAGGCCAAAAGGTGGGGGAAGCGGAAGGGTCCGTTCGGGATGATTGACACGTGGCACGCGGCGAGGAGGTTTGGTGGGGGCATCCGTTTTTCTTTAAATACCCCTCACCCCCTGAGATTCTGTCACTTTCTTCCATTTGACTTCTCTCTAGGATTTTGCTCTGACCTCTCTCTAGATTCTACTCTGTCCTCTGTCTTCTTTCCTGTCAGTCTTCACGTGCGACACAGCGCTCCCGTCCAAAATGTCTTCCCCGCAACAAGACAAGTCTTCAGGACACGGCGCCTCGGGCGCAGGCGCACCTGGTGCGGGTGCTTCGGGCGCGGGCGCCTCTGGCGCGGGTAGTGAAACAAGGCGCCCAGTTCAACGCGGTAAGTGTTCCTTTTTCCTTTGTTAGATTCGTTGAGTTTATTCTAGTCACCTAGGGTAGGGCGTCGCTTACCCCGTGTCCGCGTTGCGTCTGGGTCATTTGTTGGTTTAGAGCGGGCGCCTGCTTCAGCATCTGGTGGACCGTCATCGTCTGCTGGGCCGTCAAGTTCTTCGGCGCCTGGGTTCTTGCCTGCCGATGGGTCCTACAAGATCACTTCATGGGAGAAGTGTTTTCCTCCCGATCATCTTCCCACCGAGACGTCTCACTTACCCTTCGAGGTGGCCGGGCCACAACACACGTCAACCGTCACTTTAGGCCGGGTTCATGAGTTGGTGACCAGCCTCCAACTTCCACGAGATTGGTGGTATGCGCCTCCATCGCCTTTGTCCCGGGTAGGCGTCTGTGGCCCGAAGTGGATCGGGATTTATCAAGAATACTTCCGCTTCGGGCTACAGTTTCCCCTTGACTCGATCATGGAGGGAATCCTGACGACCTGCGCCTGCCCCCTCGGGCGCCTATCTCCCTCGGTTATCACGGTCGTCATTCTGTTCAAGTTGAGGTGCTGGCAGCATAACGTGGAGCCCACCTTCAACCTGTTCAGATATTTCTTCAAGATGGTGCCTCTTGACAATTGCTTGTCTCTCCAGAAACGAAAGAAGCGCCCCTATCATTTTGTGAAAAAGTGTCCCAAGTTGAACTGAAGCTGGTTCAACGGTTTTTTTCTTTGTGAAGGCCTATCGGGACTCCTTCTTTGCAAGTGGGGGCGCCTTTGTTAGGCAATGGGGGTTGGGTCAGGTCGAGGCCTTTAGCGCGCCGGTGGTTTTGACGGCGTCGGAAAAGGCCGGCGCCCCATTGATTTGCGAGGAACCCGTGGACTTACGCCCCGCAGAAAACCGCCCGCCCATTATTGAGGCTTATTATAACGATGGTTTGTAGGCGTCTAGGTGCTCTATTCCCTTGTTCCCTTGTTTGTGTTGTGGACTAACTTATTTTCACCATATGCAGGGGCGGATTACTCGAGCATCGCCAAGCTGATGAAGAGTCGGCTGGCTACCATGACGGCGGAGGCGGCCGCGGTGGCGGCTGCTCAACAAGGGGCGCCCCCTCAACAAGAGGCGCCTACTCAACAAGAGGCGCCCGTTCAACAAGAAGCGCCTGCCACTCAATCGCGGGCGCCGGCGGCTGGCCCCAAGAAGAAGAAGAAGAGGGCGGTGAAGGGTGGCACCGCTCGTGCGCATACAGCGAGCGTGGCATCTTCCGCTCCGGAGGAAGGCGAGGGGGAGCCTAACTCCGAACCCGCGGAGCAGGAGGTCAACTCCGCGAAAGAAGAAGAGGAGGAGCCTTTGCTCCGAAAGGGGAAGAGGGCTGGTTCCCCCTTAGCCTCGGCCAGCAAAAGGGCCGGTAAGGGAAAGAGGAAGGTGGGCGTCGACGACGACGCCTGCGACGAGGTGGAGGTGGAGGCGGGGGAGGACGCCCATCTACACCTCAACGAAGAGGGGCGCTACGTTGGCCCCGACGGGCGCCCGCCCATCTTCCGGCCACGGCGGGCCGATGTGGGGCGTGTTAACATGAACTGCTCCCCTTTGGTCGCCGTTGACCGAGGGTGTGCCATGGGCTTGGCGATTGCGGCTGCCAAGTCATGGCAGGTGCCGTCCGAGGTGAACGGGGATCACCTCTTTGCTGAGCTAGCCCAAGTGGGCGCCAAGGTACGCGCTTTTTTACTTGTGCTTTCTGGAAGTTAAGGGAATGGTTTGGTATTTGCATAACTTGCTGATTTCTTACTCACTGTTGCAGATCCTTCTCTTTGCTGAAAGAGGCGCCCGACGCCTCAACGAGACCAAACGGGAGGCGCTCGAGGCGTCCTCTTCTGCCTCGCAGCTGAAGTTGGACTTGGAGAACGCAACTGCCCGACGTGAGCAGTTTGCGAAAGAGTGCGAGGACGCCCAGATGACTGCGACCATGGAGGTGTCGCGGCTCCAGGGCGCCCTGGACGAGGAGCGCAAGAAGTTGGCCGACCTGCAAGCTGAAAAGGAGGCGTTGGCGCAGGAGGCCGGTGCCCAGGCCAGCGAGATTGACATCCTCAAGGAGGAGAAGAAGAGGTTGCAGGACGCCTACAAGGAGACCAAGAAATCCTTGAAGGAGGCCCGGAAAGAAATTTCCGGATTGCGG